AGTAGCATTGCCGGGTTGTATGTTATGTTTATGTTTAACCTATTTAAAAACTGCAAACATGTTTTTCAAAGTACCTGCACCATTGTACATCTCTATTAGCAGTATATTAGGGTTTCAATTTCTCCACATCCTCATCAACACTTGGTATTGCCTCTAATTTTGATTATAGTCATTCTAGTGGGTGTGTAGTGATGTTTCATTATGATTTTAATGCATTTCCTGAATGGCTGATGATGCTGATCTTTTGTTTACGGACCATTTTTCTACCTTCTTTGGTGAAATAGCTATTCAATTCTTTTGCTCATTTCAAAATTGGATTATATTCTTATTGAGTTGTAAGAATTTTTTATACATTCTAGTCACAAGTCCTATATCAGTAAAGGATTTGCAGATATTTCTCCCTATCGGTGGCTCGTCTTTTCATTTTCTTAATGGTGTCTGTTCAAAAGCAAAAGTTTTAAATTTTGACGAAGTCCAGCTTATCAATTTTTAAATGGGTTCTGCTTTTGGTGTCGTAACTAAGAAATTTTTGCTTAACCTAAGGTCATGAAGATTTTCTTCTTTGGTTTATTCTAGAAGTTTTAAACTTTTAGCTCTTACATTTAAGGTTATAATCCATTTTGAGTTCATTTTTATGTATTATGTGAGGTGAAAGTTGAAATTCATTTTCTTACATATGAATATTCAATTGTCCCAACAGTCTTTGTTGAAAAGAGTATCCTTTTCTCTATGGAATTACTTTGGCAGCTTTATCAAAAATCAATTGACTATGAATCTGAGGGTTCATTTCTATTCTCTCAGTTTTGTTCTGTTGATTTCTGTGTTCCTCCTTATGACAACAGCACACTGTCTTCGTTACTGTAGTTTTATATGTTTATTTAAAGTTGGATAGTGTTAGTCCTCCAACTTTATTTTTCAAAATTATTTTGGTTATTTTATGTCTTTTGAATTTCCATATAAATTTTAGAGTCAGATTGTCAATTTCTACAAAGGAAAACAAAAAGCCTGCTGTGTTTGTTTTTGTTTGTTTGGTTTTCTGTTGGCTGGTTGGTATAGGGATCCAAACCCTTGACTTTAGTATTAATATTACTGTACTCTAACCAACTCTAACCAACAAGTGCTGTGTTTTTGACATAGGGATAACTTTGAATCTATAGATCAGTTTTGGGGAGAATTGCCATCCTAATATTGAGTCTTCTAATCTATGACTGTTGCTTCACCTCACACAGGATGATGGAGATGCAAAAAGGATCACTCAAAGCCCATTTCTTCCAAGCAGTGAGAGACCCCAAATGGGTTACTTTCCTGGAACCCTCAAAGGAGAGGCATTCCTTCTTTGGGAAATTAACCACGAACTGGGGTTCTCTCTCTGTATTTATTCTCCAGACCAGGAAGTTACAGAAAAGTAACATAGGTGGAGTTATGGCTAAGTATACTTTAACAGTAGAGGCTGGTAACATCAGTGAATAACAAAGTGACATTCCATAATGCAGTTTGCAAAAGGTTAAGTCGATTCACCAACAAAAGCTTGATCTTAGCAAACACCGTTTTTCCCTACAGCAATTTCCCCAGCATTTTTACATATCAAGTAACTTGTCTATCCTTGAGCCAGCAACTTTGCTGTGCTACAATTCTATAGCCACAACAGAGACTTTAGCCTGGGGAAAGCTTCCTGTCTCCCGCAAGGTTAACATTTCTATATGTAATTCTAAAAGGTTAGGCTAAACCTGAAACTACAGGGCGTTGGAAAACTAGGCCCTGTGAAATACATTTGCTTTATAAATGTTAGTATATTCCACATCGACTGTCTATTTATTTAGGACTTCAGCTTCTTTCAGCAATGTTTTTTTAATTTTAAATTTATAAATCCTGTGCTACTCTTGTCAAATTTATTCCTTATTATTTTATTATTTTTATGTATTGTGAATGGGATTATTTTCTCAATTTTATTTTTGTATCAGTCATTGCTAGAATAAAGAAATCTTATTGATTTTTATACTGATCTTGTATTGTATGACCTTACTTAAATACAATTATTACTTCCAGTTGTTTTTTGGGAATTTTATACATACAAGATCATATCGTCTGTGAACAAAAGATGGTTTTCCTCCTTCCTTTTCAATTTAGATGCCTTTTATTTCCTCTTCTCCTCCTTGTTCTGCTTCTCCCCTCCTCCTTCTTCTTTAGCATTTTGGCTGGAACATTAATCATTTTGATTTTTCCCCCTGTACATGTTGAGTCATTTTCTTCTTGCTGCTTTTGAGATTTTGTTTTTGTCTTTTTTTCCCCACCAGTTTGACTATGACTTGTCTAGCTGGGGATCTCTTTATATTTATCTTCCTTTGGGTTTGTTGAGCTTCTTGGGTCTGTGGATCAATGATTTTCATTAAATTTGGGAAGTTCTCAGCCATTATTTCTTGAGATTTTTTTTTTTCCTGGTCTTTTCTCACTCTCCTTCCTGAGTTTTCATCACACATATGTTGGTTGTGTGATAGCTTCCCACAGGTTTCTGGGGCTTTTTGTTTTTCTTTAGCCTTTTTTTTTTCTACCCTGTTTATTAGTTTAGTTCATTTCCTTTGCTCTATCTTCAGGTTCATTGGTTCTGTTTCACACTCAAATATGCTGTTGTATCTAATAATTTTGTAATTTCAGTGTCTAAGTTTTTAATTTCAGAATTTCCTTTTGTTTCTTTTTAATAGTTTCTGTTATTGTAATATTGTGAAATATATATGTGGTCTTCATCCTCATCTCTTGGCATACAACTCCTAAAATCCTTAGAATCTCCAAAATGGTAAAAATGATGTCTTTTCATATGCTAATGAGTTGACTGATGGCTGGCAGCACCAGAATGGGGGCTGGTCACCAGAAGGATCAAGGCAGGATTAGAGAATTGGGACTTTTAGCCCCGCCCTGCAACCTCCAGGGAGGAGAAGGGGCTAAAGGTTGATTAATATGGCTTATCTGGGCCCACTCAGTGACAGTTTCTATTGACTGCATTTTTTCCTGAGTATGGATTACTCTTACCTGTTTTTTTGAAAACTGGATGTTTTAGATACTATATTGTAGTTCCTCTGGTACCTGAATATATTACCTGCCTGAAGACTGTTGTTGTTGCTGCCTTTTGTTTGTTTAGTAACTTTTCTAGACTAAATCTGTAGAATATGTTTCCTCTGTGAAGATAGTACTTCTACTTGATTTTTAAAATTTTATTCTTGTGTTTATTTTAATCCTGCCTGGCTTCCTAGATATCAACCTTGTAGCTGCAGAGCTTAGTGGTCTATAAGAATTTGCCATAGTTTATAAAAGACTTTGAGTTAGGAAGGCTTCTTACCTATATTGGTTAAGTTTGTGGGCTGAGGAGTGCATTCAAAGTTCAGGTGGTTTTCAAGTCTTTTCTGGCTTTTTACTTTCCACTGAGCCCTCTTATTTTCCCTCTGCCTTGATTGCAGCCTCCTTGTCAGGCAAAGGTGTGTGGATAGCTTGGGACCTCTTCAGTCTTTTCTGCTTTTGCCTACAGTCTTCCAGTCAGCCTGGCTTGTGTGGAGAACTTATCAAGCCCCTCTCTGGCTGTCTCATTATCAGGGTTTCCTTTCTAAATTTCTGAATAGCCTATCAGTTTTTTTCTTCTCAACCAAGACTGCAGCCTCAGATAGCAGTTGCTGGCCTTCCCTGTCCATTTACTTCCTAGATCATTACTTTTATTGCCAGCTGCATGGGGCATTGGTTTCTCACCTATCACTCCAACTGAGCCCCTCCAGTAGCAGCAAAACTGATCATTTTAGGGTCTTCCCTGCTGTAACTACCACAGTAGTCAAGCTAGGGAAGCGGTAGGGAGAGGGTAAGAACAACTTTAACAATGATGTCACAGACTCCTGTTGTTCTTATTCAAACTTCAGTGCTTTTCATGAACACACACTTCTTAATCTATTTTTAGGCTTTTGGTTGATTTCTAGAACTTATTGCTTTGCCTCCCGTGGATTTGTCACCGCTTTTCCCCTGGGTGACGGAGCTGCCAAAGACTACTCAAAGTCCATCTCTTCTGAGTAGTGAGAAGCCCCAGAAAGGGGTTAATCTCCCAGAACCCTCAAGATAGAGGCATTCCTTCCATTTGGGAAATTCACCACGTATTGGGGCTCTCTTCCTGCATTTATTTTCCAGCCTGGGAAGTTACAGGAAGAGACATAGGTGGGGTTATAGTTTTAACAAGTTCTAACAGTGGAAGCTGGTAACATTCAGTAAAAACAAGCCAGATGACATTCCATAAGGCAATTAAGTGGTCCACCAACTCAAGCTTGATCTTAGCAAACATTCCTTCTCCCTACACAGCTTCCCAAGATCTTTACATATCAATCAGTAACTTGTCTGTCTTTGAACCAGCAGCCTTGCTGTGTTACAACTCTTTATCTTACATCAGAGACTATATAGCCTGGGGAAAATTTCCTGTTTTTTGTAAGGTCAATATTTGAATTGCAAGTCTGGAAGACCAGACCCTACTCTACAAGAACTTGTGAGCATTTTTAGTCTGTCAGATAATGTGAAAATAAGCCCTTGGTATGAGTTTTCTACATTGCAATAGGATAGGGGTCAAGAAACTTTTTCTATAAAGGGCCACATAGTAAATATTTTAAGCTTTTGAAACTACATGCAACCTCTGTCACATTTTCTTTCTTTCTCTTTCTTTTTCTTTCCTTCTTTCCTTCCTTCCTTCCCTCATTCCTTCCTTATTTTTGTTCAACCCTTTAAAAAAGTAAAAACAATTTTTAGCCAGTGGGCCATACAAAAATAGGTCACAGGCTGGATTTGGCTTGTCAGGTGAGTTTGCCAACTCCTGCAATAGAAAATGTAATGCATAAAGTGAAAATGAAAAATAGGTCTTGACAAGGATATCTGGGTGGAATATAGCTTGTGATGTAAATATGTTATGAGTGACCAATGAGCAAGGCAAAGTGGCCTAGGCAGCCCTACCTATGAGTTCTCTGAAAATGTTCTTTCTTCAGCAGGATCAAAGCCGGAAATTCAACCTTGTCCTTCCTGCCCTCTGATATTCTCCAGTCAGCAAGCCATTAGCCAACATGTGTGGCTCAGTCATCTCCCTCAGCTATTCTCAAGTTTATGTGTAGAGAATCATCTCCATCCAGGGAAATACTATCCAGAAGATAAGGAGCAACAGCAGGAGCAACTCTTTGTTCAATCCTGCTTGAGTGACAAAGCAGAAATTCAAAAGAGAGAAGATTCCAAGCCCCTGTTTGGGAGAGTAAGCAAAAGTGGCACTTCAAGGCCATTCCCCAGCCCTCCTGAACAACAGCCAGTAAAGTCCAAGGAAGATAAGACAGTGGTGGATGTAGGGCCTATCCCAGAGCAGAAGGCAGACCTTGAGGAAACAAACAAAGTATTGCATGGCTTAGAGGTCTCAGGATTTGGAGCAATCAAATATGAAGAGTTTGGGCCAGGCTGTATCAAGGAGTCAAATCTACTTAGCTTCCAGAAGTCTCACACTGGGGAGACACCTTACGTGGACACTGAGTGGGACCAAAGCTTTAGCAGTATGTCAGTCCTCATCAAAAACCGCAGGACACACTCTAGGGAAAAGCCTTATGTGTGCAGGGAATGTGGGCGAGCCTTTACCTGGAAGTCAAACCTCATCACACACCAGAGGACGCACTCAGGGGAGAAACCTTATGTGTGCAATGATTGTGGACGAGGCTTTACTTGGAAGTCAAACCTCTTCACACATCAGCGGACACACTCAGGGATCAAGCCTTATGTGTGTAAGGAATGTGGGCAGAGCTTTAGCCTGAAGTCAAACCTAATCACACACCAGAGGGCACACACTGGGGAGAAGCCTTATGTTTGCAGGGAATGTGGGCGTGGCTTTCGCCAACATTCACACCTCATCAGGCATAAGAGGACACATTCAGGAGAGAAGCCCTATGTCTGCAGGGAGTGTGAGCAAGGCTTTAGCCAGAAATCACATCTCATCAGACACTTAAGGACACACACAGGAGAGAAGCCTTACGTATGCACAGAATGTGGACGTCACTTTAGCTGGAAATCAAACCTCAAGACACACCAGCGAACACACTTAGGGGTTAAACCTTATGTGTGCCTGGAGTGTGGGCAGTGCTTTAGCCTGAAGTCAAACCTCAACAAGCACCAGAGGTCACACACAGGGGAGAAGCCATTTGTATGCATGGAGTGTGGACGAGGCTTTACCCGGAAATCAACCCTCATTACACACCAGAGGACACACTCAGGGGAAAAGCCATTTGTATGCAGGGAGTGTGGGCGAGGCTTTAATGATAAGTCAACCCTCATCTCACACCAGAGGACACATTCAGGGGAAAAGCCTTTTATGTGTAGGGAGTGTGGTAGAAGGTTTAGGCAGAAGCCAAACCTATTTAGGCACAAGAGGGCACACTCAGGTGTCTTTGTGTGTAGGGAGTGTGGGCAAGGCTTTTGTGATAAGTTAACTCTCATTAAACACCAGAGGACACACTCAGGAGGGAAGCCTCATGTGTGCAGGGAGTGTGGGCAAGGCTTTAGCAGGCAGTCACACCTCATTAGACACCAGAGGACACATTCAGGAGAGAAACCTTATATTTGCAGGAAGTGTGGGAGGGGCTTTAGTAGGAAGTCAAACCTCATCAGACATCAGAGGACACACTCAGGATAGAAATCTTGTGTGTACAAGGGGTGTAGTGAAGCCTTTAGCCAGAAGTCACACTTTATCAGACCCCACAGGACACACACAAGGCTGTGGCTTTAGTGGTAAGTCAGCCATTGTTAGACACCAAAGTGGAGATGTGAATAATGGTAGTATGCATGACACTATCCATGAGAGTTGCATCTGTAGTTCACCTGAAGGAGAATGGCTGGCCCATTGTCAGAAGCTCTGGCCTCCCCTGCCTGGGATAGTGAGTTGTGGAAAGTCTGTAAGGTAACTGGATGGAGGGAGTATTTTTAAATAGGCTGAAATGAGGGAATAGAAACTATTTTCCAAGTAACCTGAACACTCCTTCCACAGTAAACCTGGATGTTTCATAAACAATAATACTAGAGCTTATCTTTTGATGTATGTCTGACCTGAGAACAAGAGACTTGGCAAACACCATGTCTGATGTTTCCCCAAACCATGATCCAGCAGAGTCAGCCTCAGGGAGAGTTTGGGGAATGGTGAATTCATGGGGACATGAATAGTGTATGGGTAGAAGAGGGTTTTATTATATAACAAGCTGACAGATGAGAAAGACTGAAAACATCCTAGCCCCAGGTTTTAGGAAGTTGTTTTTTTTTTTTTCCCCTTTTTGTCTTTTTTCGTGACTGGTAAAGGGATCGCAACCCTCGGTGTCGCGCCCATACCGCGACCGGCAACAGGATTGCAACCCTCGGTGTCGCGCCCATACCGCGACCGGCAACGGGATTGCAACCCTCGGTGTCGTGCCCGCACTGCCCTCAACCAGTGAGCGGACCGGTCTCTATATGGGATCCGAACCCTTGGCGGGAGCGCCGCCGCACTCTACCGAGTGCGCCACCGGGCCGGCCCGGAAGTGTTTGTTTTTTAAAATACTCTACCTTTGCTTGGTTGCTCGTACTTTCTCTGGTTTCCAGGTTTGATCCACAGTGAAGATATTTTATTGACTGGTGTATTTAGATTAGAAATGTGGGCCAGCCCGTGGCTCACTCGGGAGAGTGTGGTGCTAATAACACCAAGGCCACAGGTTCGGATCCTATATAGGGATGGCTGGTTAGCTCACTGGCTGAGCGTGGTGCTGACAACACCAAGCCAAGGGTTGAGATCCCCTTACCAGTCATCTTTAAAAGAAAAAAAAAAAAGAAATGTACTGTGCTCTTACGAAGAAAACAAAATATGCACAAATAGAAAATGAAATTACTTTCTATTCTCCATTTAATTACCATACAACATCTCACAGGTAATTCTTGAGTTTAAATTTTTCCAGCCATTATAAAATATATCATTTTTCTAGTTAGAAATACTCTCTTTTTTGAAAGTGGAAGTGTCCCACAAATTAACTTAAAATCCTGGGTTAGGTTCCAATTTTTTTCATGGAAATTAAATGATTCTTGATTATATCTGGAAAATAAAATTTCCAAGAGTGGGTAGGAAAATATTGAAATTGTGTAATAACATGCCTTTGCCCAGATATCAGTATTTAGAATAGATGTTTAGAACCATATAAAAAAATAGAAAACAAACCCATCTATATATGAGCATTTAGAATGTGATCAAGCAGGGCTTCATATTAGTGTGAAAATGGCAATTATGATTCAGTGTTAGCGTCACTGGCTGTCAATTTAGGGAAAAAAGAAAAAATGTAGATCCTAAGGTCTTAGTATTCCAAGGAATTAGAATTAGGGAATCACTTTCTGAAATGGCATGAAAAGTAAGAGTCTTAATTTTTATTCGACATCTAAGTAAGTATGAGTATGGTGAGAAGACCTGGTAAAAAAAATTATAAAGCATTGTCCTAGATGGAGCAGTTGGCATGCCCTCCCTTTCTCATCCTTTCCCCATGGCAGTTCCTGGACTGACTTTCTTACTCCTTCTCAATAGAAAAATACTTTTTGAGTTTTAATCCTTTTGAATTTAATTATTCTTTTCCATAAAATCATGTCTCAGAAATAAGGATTCCAAAATTAAACATGTACCTTCCACTGCTTTTTAACTTTTAGAAAGAATATTGTAGATTTAAAAAAAAATTTTTTTTTTTTTTTTTTTGGGCCGGCCCGGTGGCGCACTCGGTAGAGTGCGATGCTTGGGAGTGCGGCGGCGCTCCCGCCGAGGGTTCGGATCCCATTGCCGGTCACGAAAAAAGACAAAAAGGAAAAAAAAAATTTTTTTTTTTTTTTGGGGCCGGCCCGGTGGCGCACTCGGTAGAGTGCGATGCTTGGGAGTGCGGCGGCGCTCCCGCCGAGGGTTCGGATCCCATATAGAGACCAGTCCGCTCACTGGTTGAGCGCGGTGCGGGCGTGACACCGAGGGTTGCGATCCCGTTGCCGGTCACGAAAAAAGACAAAAAGGAAAAAAAAAAATTTTTTTTATTGATTATACATATTGATGGGGCAGGAACTGACCATCAGCACCTATGCCCAAGATGTGGTAAGCAAATCAATGCTATCAGCATACCCACCACCTGAAATTGCAATTATTCCCCATGTACCTCACCCAACTTCTCCCCAATACCCCTCTCTCTCGCCCTCTTTTTTAGAGGTCATCTTTTTTTTGGTGACTGGCCTATATGGGGATCTGAACCCTTGACCTTGGTGTTATAACACCATGCTCTAACCAACTGGCCAGCCAGCCCCCTTGCAGTTTATAATTTAATTCATTCACAAAACTAAAAGATTTTCCTTAAATTGTTAAAAATGCTTAAAAAAAATAGAGCAGAGATATTACATGAAGACTCAAATAGATTTAAAGAGATACAAACCCTGGGAAATAGTTTCTATGGAGCAGAAACCAGAGAGAACTGGAAATTTTCTGAGAAAGGGTTAGAAAGAAGTTCCATCCTTTGACTTAGCCTAGGCCCCCACCCCTGCTCATTCTTAAACCCATGTCAGGGGCATAGGAGCACTTTGGCTCAGCTAGCTGATTGTGTGTCTGCCAGTGGCCCTTCTGTTGTGCTAGTTCTTGGGGCCCGATGTGAGGTTATGCTTCCCTCTGCAGTTCAGGAGCTGTACTGCCAAGGGTGGAGCTTCTGAGCCACTTCTCAGGAAATGGACAAGGCTTCTAGGTGGGGCTGCAGTAAGGGGCCCATCCAGCAGCTTCTGGACAGTGGACAAGTCCACTAGGCAGGCCTGCAGTGAAGGGGCTGGTGCAGCTGCTGCTGGGACTGTTGGTAGGCCCTTTGCTCAGAACCTCTCAAAATTTTGCAGCAGGTAACCCGAGTTGTTCACCTGGGCCTGGCCTGGTGCTAAAGTCTGCGTGCAAACTTGGAAGCTGATTAGGAGGCAAGCACCACATAGTAATAAGATATGTAAATTCTTCTCAGGCTTTTGTTTTTATTTTTTTCCAATCTGTGACTGGAGAGCCATTCACTAGTGCCTCATCTTCCATATTCTGAGGTGACAGCTCTAGATATTTAAAAGAAACAGAAAAGGTATCCCAGAGCAAACACTGTCCATCCTACCACTCCCATAGTAAGTAGTAGACTATATTACATGGAGAAAATTTTGAAGAAAAGATGATAAGTCATATGAAACAATGGATATCACCTCAAATCCATGTCTATTATGGTCACCATTAAAATGTTTCATTTTAAAAGAGGTGGTAGCCAATTTTAAAATAACTATTTCATTTCATTTTATTTTAATTCATTATTATGTAACAGTGGTTATCTAGGTGAGTTCAGATAATATTTGGGTGACTTGAGACATTTTCAGGGGATCTGCATGGTTAACACAAATTTCCTAATACTGCTAAGGTATTGTTTGTTTCCATTGTGTTGAAACTTGCACTGATGGTGCAAAAGCAATGGTGGGTAAAGCTGCTGGGGCCTTAGCACAAATCAAGGCAGTGTCACCAAACTATACTAGTAGTTATTGTATTCTTGACCACCACAAACTTTAAAAAAAAAAAAAAAAAGCCAGTTCCACTTAAGAATGTTCTTTATAAAGCAATAAAAATTGATTTTTATTGTCTCAGTCCTTCCACCAAAAATTTTTAATTACACTTTTATTTTGAGATAATCATAGATTTACATGCAGTTATAAGAAATGATATGGGAGGGCTGGCCCCGTGGCTCACTCGGGAGAGTATGGCGCTGGCAGCGCTGAGGCCGTGGGTTCATATCCTATATAGGGACGGCCAGTGCGCTCGCTGGCTGAGCATGGTGCTGACCACACCGTGTCGAGGGTTGTGATCCCCTTACCAGTCCAAAAAAAAAAAAATGATATGAAAGAGTCCATGTACTGTTTGCTGAATTTACCCCAATGGTAACATTGCAAAACTATACTACAGTGTCACAACTAGGAACATTGAAATAGATATGTACACATCTTTTAAATATTTTGGGCAATGAAATGGGAAATGCACATAAAGCCCTTCAGTATGTTGAAATAAGATAGGATGTTTCAAGGAAATACACTTCTGTGACTGAGTTGTGAGCTGAACTGGTCACTTTTTTATTGACACCATTTTTATTTGACAGAATAACTGAAAAACTGTGGTGATTCACATTTGGATATTTGGTAGACATTTTGTCAAAAATCAAGTGATTTTTATTTTTTATTTTTTGTGACTGTCCAGTATGGGGATCCGAACCTGTGACTTTGGTATTATAAGGCTGTGTTTTAACCAGTTGAGCTAACTGGCCAGCCAAAAATGAAATGATTTTTAAAAACTGACAGTAATTTTTTGCTAATTTGAATTTCAAGTAAAATTTTGAATTTTGAGAAACAAGTATCTGCCTCCATAAACCTGGCAGTTTCCCAATTCTTAGTTCTTTGTGATGAGATTGGTGGTGACATTAGTGAATATGATTTTGTAACACTGTATAATGAAATATATCATATATATTTCAATAGATCTGCCTAACTCATTGAATCATTTTCCAGATGATTAATACGTGACGCTGCAAAATCATTCATGGGTAAGAGATCCATTTTAAGTATAAGACAGACCAAATGGATTTTAATTTAGGAAATAAAGGTCCAATTCCACATTGCAAATAACCTTTAAGAATTGTTCCTTTTTGATGTACTATCAAAGAATAATACAGACAAGTATCTGAAAGTGCCATTAAAATACTCCTCCATATTCTAACTATATATCTGTGTGAGGCCAGATTTTCTTCATTTATCTTAACAGATTGAATGTAGAAGCACATATAAAATACCATCAGTCTTCTATTAAACTAGACATTAAAAGAGATTTGCAACAGTTAAAATAATGCCACCCTTCTCACTGATTTACATTTTGGTGGAAAATATTCAAACCCAAGTGATAGTGAGTAACGCCATTGAATGTAGAAGCACATATAAAATACCATCAGTCTTCTATTAAACTAGACATTAAAAGAGGTTTGCAACAGTTAAAATAATGCCACCCTTCTCACTGATTTACATTTTGGTGGAAAATATTCAAACCCAAGTGATAGTAACGCTTAACTTTCACCCTTAAGTGTATTGTTTTTAGATGTTTATGGTCTGTATACCAGAGTAAAAAATACTTCACATAC